TCCAGAACATATCGGGCAAGCAGATCCAACAATCAACAGTGAGAGCTTCACCCAGGAGGCGGAAGGACGGACTGAGTCGCCCCCCCCCCGGGGGCGGGGTCATGTTTCCCATCCAGATCCACCGGGGACACTTGCCACACTCGGGGTCCAGCTCCTCTGGGGCTTTCACGGCTGCTGGAGACAAACAGCCCAGCGCCTAGGAAGAGATGCTCAGAGGCAGGAAGTTACTTCCTGTGATGTGTTTGATGATAATGGGGGACGGCGGGCGGCTTCCCCTGGCAGGCATCCCAAGGCCTCTTCCTCACTAGGGTGTAATGACTGCCTAGGTGGGAAACACTCGTTGTTGGGCTGCTTCATCTCCGGAATAAAGAACGTTCCTGTTTCTTTACCGCTCTGGGGCACGGCACCCTTTATGTGTTCTTGGAGGCTGTGCTTGCTGATGCCATCAACTGGACAGGACCCAGAGGGCACTGAGGATACAAGCTTGTCCACGTCAGGTCTGAGAGGGGCTTGGTTGAGGTGGAACCACCTGCCTTGCGTAGAGATGGTAACACTCCATGGGGCGGGGGTGGGGGGTGGCGTCCTGGACTGCTGGGTGCCAGCATTCATCTCTATCTCTCTCTGCCTTGTGTGGAGATGGGGCAGGGGTTGGGGGATGGGGGTGGTGCCCTGAGCTGCCAGGTCCCAGCATTCATCTCTCTCTCTCTATCTCTGATCCCCAATGATCTCAACTGCAAGGTGACAGACAGCTGCTCCATGCTGCCACCATGGCTTTCCCAGCAGGATGAACTGTGTCACCATCCCCTGAGCTGTGGGGCAAAGCAAGCCCTTCCTTCCTCAAGATGTCTGTCCCAGTCACAAGGGGGGGAAGTCACTAATACAGCCTCCAAGTTGTATGGATCTGCCAATCCTCAAAGTGACAGGCTCTCTGCTGGCCTTCCACACGCTTGTCCGTAAGTATTATCTTTAATTATACGAAGCCACTTCATAGCTAATGCCCCCACCCCCCCACACCCCACCTGAAAATATAGATACAGACATACAAATATGCACAGCTGCACACACACACACAGACACACACACACAGTATGCCTGATAAGCATTTATACTAACACACTTCAGGCTGTAGGTTTTATAAGGTGATTGCTAACTCTTCACTTAGATTTGAAAGCACGTACTTTCTCACTCTCTGTGTGTCCTCACTTTGTTCTTTTCTGTTGTTTGGGAAATTTTTTTTTAATTTCTGGTTACTTTGAGATGACCTCTAAGGTAACCCATCTGGTGTCAGACTCATTGCACGGTAGAGGCTGTCCCTGAACTCCCTAGCCTCGTGCTCCTGCCTCTCACATGCTGGGATTACAGGCATATGCTCACTTTTTTTCTACCTGAAGCTATACCGTGCCAGCTGTGGCTGATAGCTGGAGGGAGGCACGGTTACTCCGGGTCCTCCCCTTGACTCCAGAGTCCAGCCCCTGTGTGGTCTCTGTCACCCTTGAAGAGTGAGCCACCTTTCAATGCTGCGCTTTGGAGCAGACTGAGCACGGCTGTAAAATCAGCCACACTAACTTATATTTGCACTTATATACTAATAGGACATTACCCTGAAAGGGGGCTGGTGCCTGTCCTTGGGGACACTGGGACAGCCTGCTTCTGTTTACACCCACCTAGACAGGAGACCCCTGTGTCCACTCTCTCACAGAGAAGCTCTGAGCCTTGACATCTTCCCCTCCCTGCTCCTTCTGCTTTGTATGTTCAGTTATGACTAGGTTCTCCACCAACCCCTTAGAACACCCCCTCCTAAGGGGCTTGAGAGACGGCCCTGCAGTTAAAGGCGCTGGCTGCTCTTCTACAGGACCCTGGTTCAATTCCCGCCCCCCCCACACACACACAGCGGCTCACAGCCATCTATTAACTCCAGTTCCAGGGGACCAGAAGGTGTCAGACCCCCGCTCGAGTGATCCTTGGTGGGGGGAGGATCTCCTATAGGGAGCACTCTCACCTTCTGGGAGACGGGGCACCCGAAAGAGCAGCCCCCACAAGGCGCAGGGTGTGCTCCCTGCTGCTCTGTTACCCGGCTTCAGGGCTGTATTCCCCACCAAGAAAGGCTAACGTTTCAAAGAAAAACAAAACAAACAAACAAAAAAAAAACCAAAACACTACAGAGTAAGCCAAGAAACATGAAGGACGTAAATACCAAGGTGGAAATCGTTTGTCTGAGGTCAAAAGAAAAATATTTCCCCGAAGAAAAGAAGCTCAGCCCTGCAGGCCACTTGCTTCCATGTGAAATGCAGCCTTGCTCTCAGTTCGGGGGTGCAGCAAAGCACTATGAGGGCAGGAAATAGTGCTCCGCCACTCATCAGGCTGGGGGGGGTCCCCAACCCCGCTGTTCCGTCTCCATCTTACAATCTCAGTGTTTGAAAACTATGAATCCGACAAAAACCCGGCCTTGACTGCATTCTTGACAAAGGCCGTTTTCCAGCCTGTTGGAGCCTTCGTCTCTCATACTGGAGGTCACCGGGCACACAGGGCGCACCTGGATTGTCACCTTCCTGGTTCCCCCTCCCTGCCACCATCCCCTCCGGTGCCTGTCCCCAGCCCTCTGGGAAGAAGAGTGCTAGCAGCTACAGCTTCTCCCCTGCCCTGCACGGTGTGCCGCTGCTTGCCAGGACAGGGCTGAGGCTGGGAACACAGCACAGAGAGCATGTCGGAAATGGGTCCCTCAGAAAGTCCCACGGTGTCGGGGTTATTTCATTTATGCAGAGGGGGAAAGAAAAGCTGGCTACCCCACAGAAAGCGACTGCTTTAGAGCTGTCACTGGATGGATGGCCTCCTCTTTCTTGACTAAATCACGCAAAAAATCGAGTCAAGGAGAAGAGCTGAGGCCGTGGTTGAGTCTGGGTAACTAACTGTGGCTGCTGCAGCTCTTAAGTCTAAAGGCAACCCTGCCAAAGTTTCAAGACCGACAAAGCCAATCTGGAAGTGAGCACCGGGGCTTACTTAAAATCCTCTCTTCCCAAAAAAGGATGGCCCACCGAGTAAATAACAGTATCCTGGGGGGAGTGATGACACGGGATCCCGATTTAACATGGGGAGAGCCCGGAGCGGCCCCATGACTGGCCTGAACAGCAAGAATGACCATTCCCTCGGCACACCTGGCAATGCAGTCACCGTCTTTACCAGGCCAGGTGAGGCTGAGGGTCAGAGAATGGGATCTGGACTCTGGAAAAGCAATCTGTCCCATGCACCTAGGAAAATACCCGGCAGTCACACCTCCAGGGGACCATTCTAAGCCCTGTCCTCTCAAGGCCCCCGGATCACTTAACTCTGAAGGTGATGTCACTCACCCTCTCGTCTGTCAGGGGAGCCGTAAGACACAGGCATGAACAGCTAAGAGATGTGGGGAAACTAGCCAGCCATTCGTGAGTCAGTTTAAAAAGAGATGAAGCAATGAAATCCCCCCCCCACACACACACAAGATCCTCCACTGCATTTAAAACGTTCTGTGAAGGTCTGTGCCCACTACCACAGTGTGGGCAGCATCGCATCACACACGGGCCAAAAGCTAACTTTTGTGTGAGGAGGGAAGCACTTGCTTTCTCAGGAGAACTCAGATCCAATGAGTGATTGCCCATGGGCGGAAACACAGACACAGTTTTAGTCGTGATGGCCCAATGTGAGCAAAAGTAGGGACGTAGGGACGGAACCAGGACAGTGGGTAGCTACACAGTTAGCAGGGCACACGGCGGCCCTGGAGGTCTAGAGGGTGCTGAGCATCAGCAGAGTGGAGACAGCAACTGTGAAGGGACTGATGTGCCAAGAAGCCCCAGAGAGGACACCCCACACAGAAGCCCCAGAGAGAACCCCCCACACAGAAGGACGTTGGCTGAGTGAGACACTCCTCACATCAGGCTGGCTTAACTAAAAAAAACCAAAGCGTTTATATCAAGATTCTAACGACTACCGTGCATTCCAAGAGCAAACAGCAGCCTTTTGTAAATACTCAAGGGTGTGGGGAGGCGGTGGATGAACATTATGAAAGAAAACTCCAAAATGGACTCCACTCCTGTCACAATTTCATTTCAGAGAGCACGACAGCACGTAACTGTAGTGCTCTGCACTCAGGAGCCCCAGACACACCTAGCCGAGAGATGAGATGGCTTTTCATATTGATACTCACTCTGTAGAAACAACCTGTCTGTCAGAAAAGGCAAGAACATGGCTGGTAATAAGGATACGGATAACCCTGGATCCCTCAGATGCCCCTGCCGCTACGGTTAACAGATGAGCTCTGCCACCCCTGCATGTTCAGATGGGTGCTTGGGAAAGCAAACACAGGTCCTCGTGCGTGTTGACAGAGGCACTTCACTGTATGAGCTGTCCCCAGGCCACCTGCCCTCCCAGCCTACTGCGGTGGCTAGCCCCCCTTAGCCGTATCGTATCCCTCCATTTGGCAACAGCACTGGACATCTCTGAGCACCGCCATGCTCTGGCCACAGTCACCGGGCCTTGGTCCCTCCACAAGCATGGTGACTAAGCTGAGATCCAGGGATCTTCACAGGTAAGGTGAAGAGGTTTCCGGCTCAGGGGTGGGCTGTGGTGTCCTGCAGAGCAGAGGGGCTTGAGGGTGGCCTCTGCAGCCACGGCTTAGGTGATGGCCTCTGTATGAGTATGCTCGCCAAATGCTGCCCTCGCTGGTCCCTCTGCAGGATCTGTAAACCAAACCCAGCATCTACCTGCGCTCTCTTGGCTCTAGTAGCCTGGCTGCAGCACAGCTCGGGATGTGCAGGTGAGCGTGTGTGGCTACTCTGGGTGTTCAGGACTGGGGCTTCTGTGCAGCCCCTCTCTGTTTGGGCTGCCTTGCCTTAAGGACACCCTGGAGAGGGTGTGGGGTCCCCGCTGTCCTCACCTCGCCGCTAAGACACCACGGAAATTTTAGAGGAAGGGACTCTGTGTCTGCGGTCCTGGGGCAGTGTTGTAGAAGGTGCATTCAGTTTACTCACCCTGCTGACTTCCTTAGGAGCCGATTCATCTGGGGATGGAGAAGCAAGGAGAGAGACAGTTAGCGTCTGGGAGGTACACGGGGAATCAGCACATGCGTTCACTCCTGACACACTGCTGCCAAACTTCCTCCCAGGAAGTCTGAGAGTCTTGTAAAGGTTGAGCATAATGAATTGAGAGGAAAATTGGGGAGCGGGGCAGGAGAGGGATTAAATACCACAGCAACCGTTTGTGCAGGTTACCTTTTCATAGATTCTAAAAGGGAAACACAGTCACAAAGGCACAGTCAACTCTATAGACGACACTGCTGTGCTACCCAGCTGCAGGAGGAGAAAGATGCAACCCCGGGAAATACACCACAGATCCCTTTGCGCATGAGCTCCGAGGGGAGATCCCAGCAGGCATGCAAGGGCCTGACCACCTCCCTGCAACGGCAGTGCCCTGGCCTGGCAGGCAGCACACACTGGATCGCTGGCAGCTATGGCCAAAGTGACTGTGATGGTTGTCAGCTGGTCTCAGTGAGGACCCCCCAGGGACCTACCCCCAGTGCTGGCTTTGGACAGGAGACGCAGAGCCTCCAGGGTGTGAGACACAGGGTCCAGAGTGGCCTTTCAGCTGCTGAAGCTCTGCCCACCTCTCCGGACCCAGCAGGCGTGCTGTGTGCCACTGTTGTCTCCTTTCTCGGAAACAAACAACGCCTTTGCAAGCATCTTCATTTTGGGCCCCGCATCATCTTCAGCCATCTAAGTCTGCCTGCAGGTATGGTGAGCCTGTACCAGAAACTGACTGTGCTGTGTGTGTGTGTGTGTGTGTGTGTGTGTGTGTGTGTGTGTGTGTGTGCAACAGACCCAGTCAAACACAGCCCAACACTCAGACAGGTGTGAGCCTCCTTTTCAATGTCCCCATCAACCCGTCCCTGACTCCCCAGTGTGTCCTGAAAGCCATTTCCACCACAATACCATGTCTAGTCCCACAGCACACTGTGGCTTTCAAAGTTAACAACTAGATTTCAACACTGGTTGTCCTGCTCTGCCGGTATGTGCTCACCAGACGTGGGCAGCGACTGATGGAGGGCTCGGGTACCCAGTGACAGGTGACACTCCTCCAAGAATGAAGAATGTACCAAGTCAAAGGCACTTTTAACCACCCCTCACCCTTTTTTTAAAGACAGAATTTCTCTGTGTAACAGCCAAGGCTGTCCTAGAATTCCCTTTGTAGACCAGGCTGGTCTTGAACTCACAGAGATCCTCCTGCCTCTGCCTCCCAAGTGCTGGGACTAGAGGCGTGCGCCGCCACCACCCGGCCAACCTTCTTTATTGAAAGTGCATCATGGGATTTTTCACTTAGCCTTCAACTCCCATTTTATCTTTTCCTAAACCTCTCTGAAAACAGAACTATTAAGTCATTATTGTTCTATTAGTGGGTCCTAAAGCTATAAAGGCTTGGATTAGTATAATATAAAAAAAAAAAGAAAGAAACTGTATCCCAGTAAGCGTGGATTAAAAAGCAAACTGGCCGGTATGACGGTGTGTGCCTAAGGAGGCTGGGGCGAGTGGACTGTTAAGCTTGAGGCCAGCCTATGCTGTCCAGTGAAACCGTGTTTCAAATTCAACTAATTAATTAATTGTCACACTATCATCTTTATGGGCATCCAGTGTGGAGTCACGGTGTGTGTGCAGTCAGGCTGGGTGTCACAATGGCACAGAGTCAAATCAAGAGTGGCCCCCGACGGTAGCTCTCTCCGTCACTACAGAGAACAGTTTCAGAGTCCGACACTGCCAACAGACATTTTCCTGCTCTTCTCGTTGATGCTCCTATTCAGGTACTAACCAGCTTCAAGACTTGGTACCTTACTTCCCAAACTAGTGTGCACAAAAGATACACTGCCTGCATATATCTACGGCACCAACTATCTTTGGAGATAGTATTTGGAGAAGGGAAAAAAAAAACCACAGCAGCAACAACAACAACAAAAAATCCACTTTGCCTGTAGATGATTTCTAGATTTTTTCACCTTGGAAAAAATTTAGAAATATTTCCTCCTCCTTCCCCTCTTCTCCCTCCTCTCCTTCCACCTGCCTCCCGGCCTTCTTCATCCGACTTAGCGCTTATAACCTGCGCTAAATGAACGTCAAGCCTATTACACACAGGGAATGTTGTATTGTGGGTTACCAAGAAACCCACGCCCCCTCTTCCCATACTTGGCAGTTTCATTTACTGAATGCCCCTGTCCCAGAGAGTCCAGCGTGTAGAAACCAGATGTTTGATGCGATTCCGTGCTGGCAAGCAATGGCAGACCCTGGTCTGCAGGGCCCAGCGGTACTCCCTGGGGAACATGCTGTACTTGGGAGCCCGAAAACATCCCAGAGAGACACCGTCCTATTAGGGAGGATTGTTGCTGAGAATAGAATTATTCCTCCAAAGATAAATAAACAATGGAGAAGCTTGCCCCCTCCAGCCCATACTGTTACTGTTTCCGGCAGACCAGAGGAATTCCAGGTTAGTGCCTCAGTTTGTGATGCCATCCTACTGGCTTCCAGCAACAGTCACAACTGACCTGCTCCCTTTGAACCGCTGGGTGAGGGACAGTGGGAAAGAGGGAACTGACTTGGATAACAGACTTTAAATCATTCGTGAGCATCAAATTGTCTGTAAAAAGGTTCAGACCAGAGGCCCCAGGTCTTTAGGCAGAAGAGGGCCTCTGCCTTAAATACACACCTGGGCAGCATCTAGGGACTGAGCCGCCTGTTCCCCCCGGCACTCAGCCCTGTCCTTGGAGCCATGAGGGTCACTGAGATAGATGAACAAGGAAACTAGTAGCAGCAGAACAACCATGTTCGCACTTGCCGAAGGCCACTGTATTTTTTTTTCTTTCAGAAAGGAGAAACCATCTCTCCATCCAACTCCATCTTAATGATCTCTAAAAGCCTCAGCAAGAACCCGGCGTGGAGGCAAAGGATACCCTTGGGGTTTCCTAGCACTGAGTGGTGTCCCTTTAAATACTCCCCTTAAATATTTTATGTCTTTATAAATGTGTGGATGTTTGTGTTCTGTGGCCACTTCCAATGTTTCCTTGGTGTGAGATGGGATTACAGTAATGGACCCACATTTTGTGACAACAGATCACAGAAATCCAAACTTGCTGGCAGACACGGAAGTGCTCTGTCTGTGGCTTCTGTCACATGCTCGTTCTGGATTTATTGGAAGGTCCCAGGAGAACAGGGAACAATCCCGCACGTGACAAGTGGGGCTACATGAAGCTAAGATGCTCTGCCCAGCAAAAAGAGACAACCAGCAGAGTGAAGAGACAGCCTTCAGAGTGGAAAAAAATAATCCACAACTACCCATCAGACGGGGTTGGAACTCAGGATATATAAAGAACTGTAACAAGTGGACCATGTGATTCTCCTCACCCTGGCTTCCTCCCCAGCAGCACGGGAGGAGGAGCCTCTACCTCCAAGGCCCGCCCCTCCCTCCCTCCGCCCTGTCCTTCAAACTACCCTTGAGAGGGTCCCTGTGCACCTGTGCACGTTCCCCCTTGTCCTAGGTTCTGAGTCTCATTCTTCCCAAAGGCGAGCACACACTTGTGACCTGGGCCCTCGCACCTCTGCTTTTACCGCTCCAGCTCTAGGAGCCTTCAATCCCCAGCACATGCTCGCAAGGCCGTATGCACAGTGGTATTTATGCCGTATGCACAGCGGTATTTATGCCGATGATAAACAACACTTAGCAACCAAGATGACCTGGTGTGGCAGCTTTCAAATAAGCCTAACGTGCTTGTTTGCAATTTCTGAAATTAAAATGCAAATTGCGTCATCTCCTCCCTTCCCTCTTCTCCCTCCAACGCCTCCCATGCCCTCCCCGTTCCCCCTCAAATTCATTGCAGCTTCTCTGAATGCTACTGTTACCTATGTGTATAGACACACACACACACACACACACACACACACACACACACACACATACAACCATGACCCGTCCTGTCCATCTCGCCTCGCTCGTGTGTGTGTGTGTGTGTGTGTGTGTGTGTGTGTGTGTGTGTGATTTCAGGGTTGACCAGTTGGTGCTGGCTAACCCTGACAGCGGAGGAGAGAGCAGCATCCATGGAAGAGCTGCCGCAGCCTCAGGACAGCTCCAGGCTTCGCCTCCACTCCGGGTCCAGCTCAGGTCATCCAGGAAACCTCTGATGGTCCTGACTGTCACACTCTGAGTGCCCTGCGTACCATGACTGCAGCTGGCTCACTCTGGATGGTGTCTGTGACCTACCTCAGTGAGGCCACACCTCCTAGCCCTCCCCAAACGGTTTATCCACTGGGGACCAAGGGAGCAAATAGGCACGCCGATGAGGGCCGTGCTCATTCAAGCCGCAAGTGCCTGACTATGCTAGATATAACATGTTTAGCCTAAGATTAATCTCTCAGTTATCCTGAACAACAGCTGTTCTTTGTCAGTTACTATTTCTTAGTGTTAATAATATGTGTAATTTAGCTGGGCATTGGTGGTGCAAGCCTTTAATCCCAGCACTCGGGAGGCAGAGGCAGGTGGATCTCTGTGAGTTCGAGACCAGCCTGGTCTACAAGAGCTAGTTCCAGGACAGTCTCCAAAGCTATAGAGAAACCCTGTCTCGAAAAAGCAAAAAGAATTAAAAATAATATGCCTAAATTTTGTCTCACTTGGCTGCTTTGGAGATTTGCGGCTGGCCAGTTCCGCTGCCCTCTGCTCAGCTCTGATGGCCTTCCTCGGAGGTGAGTGTGGACCCTTTTCTTGACCAGACTGTACTTTGCATCAAGTATTTTTCGTGTTTTATATTTGGGTTTTAAAGTGTGCTTAAGCCAAAAGGAACACCCACTGAATCTGCTTGAAAACACTGAAGTCAACCTGGCCTTGTAACAGCCTGTGACCAAATGTCACGCCGTGACATCTCGGGGCAGTGATGCAAATACATGGAGTCTCGCTTCAGTTTCAAAAGTTGAGCCACCGCTTTGAGACAGGTACAAGTCCTCTCAGTTCCCACAGCCACTGTAGCTGTGA